AATAATTCGCCCTTCGTCTAGCCCTTTCGCATCTCCGCTCCACATGGTCCCTATGGCGCAAGAGGGGGCTTGGAGACCCTGCGGCGATTATCGAAGAAGACTAAACACACAAACGGTGCCCGACAAATATCCTGTGCCTAACTTAGCAGATTTCGCAATTTCTCTGCAAGGCGCGAAAGTGTTCACCAAAATTAATCTGAGAAAAGCGTTCCATCAGATTTCAGTTGCCGAGGAAGACGTGCATAAGACAGCAATAACAACGCCCTTTGGCCTTTATGAGTTCCTGCGGATGCCTTTCGGACTTCGAAACGCTGCACAGTCTTTCCAACGATTGATCGATGAAGCCCTTCGCGGTTTACACTACTCGTTCGCTTACATTGTAGTGGATGCGTTAATTATGTGGTAATATTTGTTGAGAATAGGTTGCATGTCAATTAACTATTTCCACTAACATCAAAATAAAATACAAAATTCAACTGAATTGTTTTATAACGTAACAATAGATTTATTTAGGTCGACGTACAATATGCACAAAAGGATAGGACAGAGTTGTGTCCCTTTAACTTGGAATATTTGTACCAGAGTTCATATTAAGAACAAGACATATTATATTAGAAACTGATAAAACATTTATATACAATTCAAAATGATATACAAGCAGAATATTAAGTATATGTTATGTTGGCAAATGTGTATGATGTTTTAGGTTTCAGAATGTCTTGCTTGTAAGCGTTCAGAAAGTTCTTAAGAAGTAATTTAACTTTCACTGTAATATTTTTAAGGTCGTTCGCACATGAATGTTTACTTAATAGATAGTAAATGTAATTTACTTTAGATAAGCAATATCTGAGGATTAGTGTCCATAGAATTGGTTGAGTTGAATTGTTAGTGAGTCAGCGTTGAGGTGTTTCTTTGGCGGTAAAGTCTGGTTTCGAACAACGTGGAGTAAGTTAGCAAATTCTCTGTGGTGCTGTCACTGACTGACTTGGGCGGTAATTATCTTTAACGTCTGGTCAGCAATGACTAAGACGGTTGTCGGTGAAGGTTACATCTTGGCACTTGGTAACTACTCTCGTCTTCCAAAAAGTTCACACGTGTTCGGTTTATATAATGGTCAAGTGGCTCCCAGCATATGAGCGAGAAAACAGATTGGTCGCGTGCAGGCGGTTTGATTGGTCGGAACTGACCAATCAGCAAGCCAGATTGGAGGTGATTGACCAATGAATACTTGTTATATTGTATGAAAGTAGAATTTGGCTTACCAGATAGGAAGAGTGCATTTCCTAAAAAGAGGTAAGGCTGGTTGTGTTGTGGAAGATTCCACAACATCGACGACCTACTAGTGGCAAGCGCTGACATGGACGACCACGTGCGTAACGTGATACAAGTTTTCGAGCGTTACAGCATTTCGGATTGAAAATAAACCCAGATAAGTGTCTATTCGCTGTTTCCAAACTTAACTTTCTCGGATACGTAATTGATGAATCAGGAATCACACCGATTCCAGAAAAAGTGACAGCAATAAAAAAAACTTTCCACAACCGACTACATTCCGTCAACTCCGTCGATACCTCGGTTTAATAAACTATTATCGCCAGTTTATTCCAAATTGTTCACAGATCTTAGCACCCCTAACCAACCTACTTCGAGGTCAAGGAAAGAAAAACGTCTCAATAACACTAACTGACAAAGCTGTTACTGCTTTCAATAATTCACGCGATGCTTTAGCGAACTTCACGAAGCTAACTTACTTACACGATGACAACACAACAACTCTTTTGTTAACTACTGATGTGTCATCGGAAGCGATTAGAGCGGTTTTACATCAACACACAGAGAAACAAACCACGTCAATTTCTGTTTTTTTTTTTCCAGTTAAGCTTACTTCAACCCAGAAGAAGTATAGTACTTTCTCTCGCGAATTGCTTGCTATATATCTTTCTAAAAAACATTTAGACACATTCTGGAAGGACGAAACTTCACCGTTTTCACCGATCACAAACCTTTAGTTTTCGCCCTCCATACAAAATCAGATAAATATAATCCACGCGATTATAGACAGCTGGATTTTATATCACAATTTACCACCGACATACGGCACATAGCAGGCAATGATAACGTTGTCGCCGATACGCTGTCGCGAGCTTCCTTACACAATACCATTGAAGAAAAGCTGGATATGGAAATTTTAGCAGACGAACAAGTAAGGGACGTCACTCTATTTAACTCATTGCAAGACGCGTCGTTAAAAATCGAACAAAAACCCTTGCCTTTCAGTGCAAAGTTTATCGCCTGTAACACAAGCACTTCCAATCCCAGACCTTTGGTACCTGTCAGTATGAGGAGGAAGATTTTCAATCATTTTCCCTCATTTTCACACCCCGGTCGCAAAGCTACGTCAAAAATGATTTCCGGACGCTTTGTCTGGCCTAACATGAACAGCGACATTAAAAGCTGGACTCAGTGTTGTATTACTTACCAACGTACTAAAATCCATCATCATACCAAATCACCGCCTGGTAATTTCGCCACGCCAGACGGCCGTTTCTGTCATCTACACGTCGACTTGGTGGGTCCGTTACTATAATCGACAGGTTTTCTAGAGGACCAGTTGCAATTCCTCTTCAATCTACGACCGCTGAATCTGTTGCGAAGGCTATCCTTAGAAACTGGATCTCGTTTTTTGGATGCCCATCAGTGACAACAACAGATCACGGCCCATAATTTCAGTCTACACTCATAAATCTTCTTGTAGCGAGACATATATCTACCACAGCATACCATCCTTGTGCTAACAGCCTTGTAGAACGTTTTCTCCGCCAGTTAAAGGCCGCATTAACTAGCTCCAGTGCTAATAACCAATTATCCTGGATGGACAATTTACCCCTGGTAATGCTTTCACTCCGGTCACAGGTTAAGGAGGACCTTCAATGTTCACCAGCTGACCTTGTTTTTGGACAACCATTGGTTTTGCCAGGGCAATTTCTGTCCGATAGTACAGCCTCAAACCCTTCTTCATCTTTCATCCAATATCTACAGAGTAGGATGTTTACTTTAGTTTTTACACCTACTCGGTTCCAGACTAAAGATATCTTCATTCCTACATTTTTGAACAAGTGCGACTTTGTCTTTATTCGACAAGATGCCGTAAAAAAGCCACTCAGTCCGAGTTATTCAGGTCCGTTCCGTGTCCTCGATGGCATAACAAATTCTATACCGTTCAACTTCCTAGTGGATGATCCAACATATCGATTGATCGCCTTAAGCCAGCTTACATAGAACGGATTACGGAACCCAACCAAACATCACAATCACCAACATTACCGGGCGGTATACAGCAACAACCCCAAACACCTGCACACCAATATACAAAGAAAGGTAGGGAGGTCCATTGGCCTCGAAAATTCAAGAGTTACATAACATATTGAAAAAAACTGTTTTTCATCACCTTTTTCCAATCTTGTGGGGGTTGATTGTAGTGATTACTACTATGTTTGACACGCCTACATTTTTCTCAACTGTGATTGGTCAAATAATAAATACTAAACATCACAGGACAATCCTGAATTTTTCCTACCGTTAACTCACAAACATGCTTTTGTTATAAAATCACCGATTGGTTAATTTTTCATCCAATCAGATATTTTTCGTGTTCTTTCAAATTTATCTCGCGTTCGTGCTGGGAGCCTACCGATAGTAATATAAGTCCGGATTCATTCCCAAATTAAACAGTAGAGTTGAAAACGGTTGAAGACAGTAGAACTCAATTACTCACACGCGTCTACACAGATTATTCATTCTACTCACTCCGCATGCACACACACAGACACAGAACTTGAATATCATTCACCATCAGTTCTTTGTGAACAAGCCAAGTTGCAACAACTCTGTTAGTTACAAAACACACAACTGTACGATCTTCTGAATACACATTCTATTTTAACACAGAACTCGGAACATTATATTCAGAAAACTTGCTTAATTACATTTCCTAATTCAACTAACAGATAAAGGGAAACTACGTTTTTCTCCTTATTCACACATTACAAAAATTACCTTGTATTTGTTGTTGATTTTAATATATATATTTTATCGTTGAAACACAAATCGGTTTTCCATTGTTTTTCCTTGATTTAAAAAAATGTATAAATGTTAAATGCTCTTCAACACGCAGCCACATTAATCTTTTCAACAAAACACCATTTTTACATTGGTAACCCCAACACTTAGGAAAGCAGCATTTACAGCAACTTACATTTTCCTTTTGGCAGTCGTGCCAAAAAGGTTTCCTACATTTAAAAAAATCAATATACCTACCTCATTCCACTGCTGGAATGTGATTTTATTGAACGTTATGTGCATGTAGGGAGAAACAAACAAAACTATTGGTATTCCATCATCCTACTGTTGCAGACACCAGGGAATAAACCTGATAATATCCCTTTCAGTACAGTGAGAGACGAATTAAAATGATACTTCATATATGGTCACAAATGGTCAAAGATTAGGTAAATAAGTGGCCTGTCGTTGTATTATTAAATTCAAATATTTTTTTTTTTTGTATCTGAAATGGTGAAATATACTATTCCAAATTGATTCGGTCATAGTGTATAAGAAATTTCTCTTAGAAACCCTGTTTCTAAGAATTATGGTCCAAGCTATTAAAACAAAAATACTACTTTATCTATATATTATTTTTTGTTAATGTAAAACGAACCTCTCTCCTGCAATAATTTTTACACTAGCAAATTGTAACTATACATTTTATTTTGCATAAATTGTTTCATTTTAGTAGCGCAGACTAGCGCAGAACACAGTGGGCGGTGACTGGAGTATAACTCTTCTGTATTAGGAGAACAGAAAAGTAACTTTATTGTACTTGTTTCAAAATGGCTGACAGGCAGCCTCAAGTCTACATTCGTGTGACAGCACTTGTGGTTGCTTGTGTGGTTACATGCTTGCCTGTTTTTGGCATTGTTTTTTCAGTCGTATGGTCTTTAATGTACGACTTCGAACGAGCGACTCATACGCACTGCAAGGTAAGAAGAAACCTTTACTTGATATCGGTGTTCGTTTTTTAGTTTCTTACGATGATTACTTTTTTTTAATTATTTTTAACGGTGAAAGCTGAAATATTTCTTTTTAATATATATTTTTTTTTATTTTAATTCTTATAAAACTCGTATGCATAATAAAATGAATTAAACTTGTCACTCATAAAAAGTTCATTTTCCGGAGTAAATAAAGATAAAAAAGAGACTAAAAAGAAATCTGCAAAAATACATACTTTTTTTTACTTAAAAATTGAAATCTTAATTTAATTACTCGCTGATTTAATAATGAATGTTGATTGTTGATTAATAATAATAAATGCTATATCCTAGTTCTCCCCAGCTTCCCTTTCTTTAATGTGTGATTTGCTGTGACTTCTTCAAAAGATAGTGTAGTATCCCCGTTGCTTTTTCCATGTTCTCAAATTCATAGTGGTTGTTCTTCTAGACCGGTTGTCATGCAAAGCTAGAAAGTCCAGTCTACCCTGCTATATCACTGCTATATATATTCATCAGTGCGAAAAAAATTCTATATGAGAGATTTTATTTGGAACTCCTCAAAACATAAAAAAAAATGAATTATTGTTATTTTCTCATTTATGATAAAATTTAACGGTGAGAAAAAAAAATTGCTAAAAATCCCATCAAGGATCATATTTTCATTTCCTCTTCCCTATGCTTGTTTAATTTTTTTAATTAACTTTTGCATCATTTTATTTATCTTATTCGACATAAGTAAACAATTGTCACCCAAAAAAACTGAAACACCTTCATTCAAACAAACAAAAAAAAGGAGAAAAAAGAAAGGAGAATTAGTAAATAATTTCATTTGCTTACACTTTTTATTTTACAGTTTGATCATTTCTAGATAAAAAAAAAAAAAGTTTACATTTGAGTGTTTTAAATTTTATTTTTAATTTACGCTTTTTGGTCCTAATGGTCGTACGTTCAAAGAATTGCCTCTTTCTTTAATTTATGTAAATTAAATTAAATACTTCTACTAATTGCTTTTAGGATGATGGGACTGTTTCTTTTTTATCTAATTCTGAAAAGACTGTGCTTGTTTTAAAGGTACATTGGGTGCTTTTTTTCTTGTAGAAGCAGAAATGCTTTATTCATTATTGAATGTGAACACTATTTTATAAAAAACACAACAAAAATAGTTTATCTAAAAAAATAAAATAAAAATGGATGTTTATCATTGTCGATCATTAAATCTTTTTTCTTAATTTTAAAATTAAAGAGCTATATTATTTACTTGTGTGAATGATTTCTTTTTCTTATGTTTGAAATTTGCTGCATTATGGCAATGGCTCATCTTATAAAAATGTTGGATTTTTAACAAAATTGAATAATGTATTTTTGACTTACGAAAAAAGAAACAGATGTCGAAAAATAATTGTCTCTCTTGTCTCTATTTTGTTGTCGGTAATTGTTTAAAAGTCTTCGATAATCAGGCAATAATAATAATAATAAATTATTTATCAACTTAAATGCGGGCAACAAGGTGACTGACACACACAAACCAATCACAATATCATGTTTTTTACATGGTTGCACTTTCTCTAATTTTCATTCATTTTTGTCTGTTTTAGTTTTCTTCTTTCTGTCTATCAGATATTTTTTTTTAACTCATCCACATTGATCCAAAAAGGCATGATTCATTCAGTTTGTACCTCATGTTTTGGTTCTATAATTTCAACAGAACGGTCCTACCGGCGACCAGTACTTTATTGATTGTTGATTTGACCTTTTCTATCAAGTGTTTTTTGGCTAGTCTTATAACTTTTACATTACAATGTCACATCTGTTGAACAAACTCTCTGATGTATGTATTTTTTATTTAAGGACCTCGACTTAAATTTACTGTGGATGATTTAGTGACTAAGTAAAGAACTTTCTATATATTTTCGTCTCAGTGAGTAAAAATTGCTATCTCTTTTTTTAATTTTAAAAAGCTACTTTTAAAATCAAAATTATGGTCCTTTATTTCATTCATTGCTGTGAAACAAAATCACTAATGCATTTTTAGTTGCTCAGTAATGCGTAATGAGTGACCATAATCTTGATTTAAAAAAGCTACTTTAATTAAAAAGAGAAAGCAATTTACTGAGACGAAAATGTATAGAAAGTGCTTTAATCACAATAAGAAGAAATCTTAGCGTAAAAAAAAAAAAATGTTGATTATTATGATCAAGTGAATAGAAGAATTTGTCTAAATTTTCAATGACAATTTCGGTTTTCTAATCAAGCAGAAACAATCGTCCCGCCTTTCTTTTTTGCGATACAATGTTATGATTTATTTACACTTTCTAATCAATATTATGCGGTAGTCTTATCACGTGAACAATATTTTGAGTAAGCATAATTGTTTTTTTGTTTTTTGAATTTTCCACTTAGTTAATTTTATTTAATAATAAGTTTAGTTATGGGTTAAAAATTTGATGGTAGACTAGGATCTCTAGGCTTGAGTGGCAACCAATTTAAAGAGAAGGAAAATTCTAAATTCATAGAGAAGGCAAGAGGAAATCATTGCACTATCTTCCCCAAGAAGTCCTGGCAGATAATTTAGAAAGGGAATCTGTGGAGTGCCATAGTCCAATACATTTTGAAAGAACATGCCATTTTTTGCCACTTCACTATCTTTTCTCAGAAGCATAGCAATTCACAGAGGATAAGTAATCTGTAGAAAGCCATGATTGCATTTTGAAATTTTTTTTTTTTGTATTTACTGATAATTCACCCAGTAAAAAGCTCAAGGGCCACTCAAGGTAGAGTATTACTTAGGGAGATTGTAAAGACAAGTAGGATAGATATCAGTTGACCCTGAACTTAAAGAAACCAAGATTATAGTTATCAGGGAGGAAAAATGTCACACCACTATCTTTCTCATAGTCATAACAATTCAGATAAAATCAAATAAAAAAAGCAAACAAATCTGTGGGGGTCTATGATCGCAGACAACCTGAAGAGACATGACACATTGTTTAAAATGCCATTCCACTATCTTTTCCAATAAGTCATGGCAATCCACAGATAATAAAGAAAGGGAACTTGTGGAGAGCCATCATTGCAAACATCCTGAAGGGACATGTCATTTAAAAATATATGTATAAAGTTTACTTTCCTTGAAAACTCTACTCTACAAGAATAAGGAAAAAACAAATTGAACTTAATTGGAGCAATCCATCTGAAATCCACCGATGACCCGCTCAGAAAAATCTTGGAAAATTCGTAGTTGATCCTTGGTCAAATTTATTGATAAATCCCAAATATTAGATCTGTATCGTTAATAGTTTTAAAATCAGTATCTTGAAATTTCACTGCATATTTGGCATTTTGCTAAATCAAGCTTTCAAAGAAGTTTTAACATTCATAGCTCCAGGGATATTGCATCTATAGATTTGAAACTTGGTGGCAATGGTTAATCTTTACTAGATTCTTCTGCTGTCTCCATTCAGGATGTGGGTGATCATGGTTCTCCACAATTTCCTGTAACATAGATCACAAAGATATAAACAGCTTAGGCATGTTTTTTTTTGGTTTTTGTTTTACCTTTAGAAGACAACTGCCAAAAAGTTGACTGAAGAAGACTACTGGGCCGATGATACAAGCCTTGAGATTAGCTGGCTGGTCTTCATACCAGCCAATCGAATTGCTTCTTGCATTTCTTGCACATCTGGATCTTTCAATGGCGGTTTCTTTGATAGTTTGCTATGTTCTGTGATCTTATATTGATTTTTTTTTGTGTTCCAAGTGAGGGATTGTCAAAAGAGCTCTGTATTCTTGGCACTGAAACTCCAAATAAGGCTCCAGATCCATAAAATTAATTATGGGGGTGAAACACGTGTTAAAAAAAAAAAAAAATTTTACCAAGATTTTCTAATAAAAAAAAAATAATAATAATTACCTTCATTTGTGAATAAGGGTCTGAATATGGCCAAAATACAAAAAAGATTTGTCCATTTTGAGAGCTTGATACAGCATCCAAATTAGTTTTCCTGTTATTTATAATAGTTAAGTAATATGTTATTTCTATGCAATAGGTACCGTCACTAATTTGGTATACATAAGGTTTAAAATAAATTTTTAAAAATGAAAAAGCTATCTTGAGGCTTTCGTTTTAGCTTTAATTGAAAGCTAAAGGATTTAAAATTTACTATATATATATATATATATATATATATATATATATATATATATATTTTTCAGTAAAATGGATAAAAATCTTGCAAAAATAAAGATATATATTTCTGAAACTTTATTTGAGGAATATTAGCAAATTTAAAGTTAAATTAATCTGATTTGAAACAAATATTACTTATATGATGAAATGTTGTATACAAGCATTTCTTAACCATGGGGGTCTTGATTTTCTGACATGTTAATCAATTTATTGACAGCCGATTGATCACTAAACTTATTCATAGTTAAGTATGGTGTAGCTGACGATAAGATTTATAAGTAGGGGGTCAACCCTTAAAACACATGATCTTTTAATGATAGATTTATTGGTTTGTCCATCCATACTTCAGAAATTCTGAATGTATATACACACATGCAAAAACAAATCAAAATTCTTCTAAAAATATTTGGGGTTGTCAGATTGTAATAAGCTTTACAATAGATAATTAGTAAACATAATTTTATTTAACAATATTTCCTAAGAGTTATTACAATGAAACTGAATTTTAAAACATTTAAAAAGTTTATAAATTATTCAGTTTAAAATTGTAAAAAATTAAAACAAATCTTGTAAAAATTTATTTTTCATTGGAAAAAGTTTTTTTTTCTTCAGCCAATATTGTTTTTAATATATATTATCCTAAAAGCAATTCATGCTTCTCTAATTAAATAATGTCTTAGTTTTATTGCATTCTTTATTTTTCAATTCAGAACATATTTTCAATAAGACGGGGTCTGATTTGGCCATACAAAAAATTTGATTTAAATTCTTTAAAGAATCACTAAGATTATTATGTTGAATT